CCCCCCCCCCCCCCCCGCCCGCGTTTTTTTGGGGCTGTAAGGGAGAAAGGAAGAGGGTTTTCACCCTCTCCGCCTTCGGCAACCATCCAACACGCCCCTCAAGGTCGGCGGACACGGACCTCTAAAGGATCCTCAACCCCACACCCTAATCATTTGGCCTTCGTCCCTGTTCCCTAAACCCTGTTTTCTGTACATCAGGTCCCTATATAACCCCTTGAAAAGGACCTTTAGAACAGCCCCAGTATTTTAAACCTGCATGTCACAGTAGTTTTCATGTTCCTTCCATTTTAGAGAGAGCTGCCCCTACAGAACCCCTCTACGTAAGCCCGTATAGAATCCCTATTAACCGTTCAAAGGTTAGAGGTTAGGGGAGACCCCGTCCCACAAAACCTAAACCCTCAACCATCAAACTCAACCCTTAAATGGACCCTAAGAGTCCTTCTTAGGGCAGCTGTGTTTCTGTTTCTTCTGTCAGGCAGGCTCACTTCGGCGTGGTGCAGGCGGATGTGTAGTGTAGATTTTCAGGGTTCAGTTGGGATCGGCCTTTATTCAGGGTTATAGGGAAAATGTAGGGGTAATTCTTCTTCGGCATGCAAAAGGAAAGAGGGCTCAGGCTCAAACAAGTAGAGCTACAGGTTATAGAGGGGCCCAACAGGATACGTGGACGTTTCGGAGTGTAAGATACGGGGATTACTACAGGCGGACAGTTATTGATAATTAGGGCTAAATGAGCCGAATCCTAAACCCTAAACCCATGATGTCGGCTTTGACTGGAACAGCGCCCTAACCCCTGGCCTCTGACTCTGCAAGAAACATGTCTGGCATAATTTACATGAGCTATAGTAAACTCATTAAAAATGGGGTCATCTAGGGGATTATATAGGGGAGCATTCTAGTGGTTGGTAAGTGGATACTAGGAGTTTAGACTGTAACTCACAGACAGTCCTTCAGGGTCTCACCAAGGGCACTAAATCTGAGCATACTTAAACCGGCATGGGCCTATAGAAGACACCAAAGCCTAAAACAACGCAAACATTTTTCACTTGCCGTCTAGTCTTTCACGGCATTTTCAAGACACTAAGCCGCATACATATATATATATATAAACACGAAGCGTGTTCAAAATGCTACTGAGTATTCATGTCCAAGGCTCGAAAGAGGAAGAAATCACAGGCTTCGGGCTGAAAGGTTGGTCTATAGCTTACTTAGAAGCTGGGTAGACTCAAGGAACGAATCGTGCAGAGATTTTGCCTTAGAGAAGTCAGCATCTGGAGTTAAGATCTCAATCCGCCCCCTTTGCATGCCAAAGTACAGGTCCTTATATGCCCCCTGTACAGCGTCCGCATACGCCAACCTTATGGGCTTAGGGTTCAGGATCTTTGGCTTTCCTGTCGAGCTAAATGTGCGAAATGCCTCTCGTGAATGCGAGCGCCCGCGCCTACGACCAGCACCACGAGAGCCGCCGCGGCGAGTACGGTCGCAACTGGCGCTGTCGCAGGGGCGGCGGAAAGCGAAAGCGCGAGAAGCGCGAAAAGTGCGAGCGCATGGAGCGCCTCGAGTTATTAGACCGGGAGCGCAGGCGCAGCCTCTGGCTTGTTGGCGGCAAGTGTCTCCTTGACCTAGAGCAAGGTGGCGGCCGGAGCCACGACTGGAAACGACCAAAGTCCGATCCCGAAGCATCAGCTGCGGGCATGACCCATCCGCAGTTGAGGCCGTCTTGATGTCGCCCACATGCCCCTAGAAGGCTGGAATATGCAGGAAAGACGGAAAAGAAGCATCCATGAAGTCCTCTGAGGCCTCCGGAGATTGTTCTACAGTTGATTGCATGAATGGAATTTCAATTGCGCACCAATCGTAATACCATCCCGCATCATCTCCCTACTCTGAACACCCCTGCCGCCAAAAAAATCCCAAATACTCACCACTCATTCTTCGAAATACCATGGTGTGGGGTCTTTAGTAACATCGTGGTGACGGTGTTTTTTCAAGAGGGGGAAGAAATTCTAAACCCTCCCTAACTCAACCTTACACCCTAAATCCTAAACCCTAAACCCTAAAACCTAAACCTTACACCCTAAATCATAAACCTTACATACTTGAAGGAGTCCAATGCAGAGACGGTCTATAGAGTCCAGTGGAAGGTTTGCTTACGGGTGCTTCGCGGAAATGGGGGGGAGGCCTGGATCCCCAAATCCCTTAAAATTGTGCATGTACTTTGGGTACTGCCCCCGCCAAGTAACAGTCTATAAGAGCGGCAATATTGAGGGGTATATATTATTCTAATACTAAGTGTTATCCAACTGTTGCTGGTTGGGGGGCGGTATCCAATGTAATGTATGCTCCTTCCCCAAGGCTCTCTCTTTGCTCACGTAGTTTAGCGTTGGAAGACTGGCCGTGCTACTAAATATCAAATGAAGTGCTCTCGGGCCTGGTGTGTGCGGGGGCGGGCTTACCATTTGCTCACCTCCCCTGATACCAACCCCTACATACATGTATTTCCTCCCCATTCTGCGATGGTATTACATCGGGAGTATCCTGAGGGTGATTTGTCTGATCAACCCACGTCCACTCCTTCAAAACTATTCCTGATGCAACTAGGAGTTTCCCGAAATTACCATTTTGGGGGTCCTCATAATAGGGACTATAGTATGTCGGGGTCCCTATTCGGGGAAACTACCAACTCTCATTTGTAAGGCTTCGACATGTTGACTGAGCCTCAGAGAAGGACACCATGGCTTGGCGGCCTACTCTTGGTTAAGCCCTGAACCCTAAACTTGAACCCTAAGGTTTTAATCCCCCTCAGGCAGATAGAATATGGGGTATATGTGGATCTTATTATAACATACCAAAGCCATATTCTGTCTACTTAAGGGGGACTATAATGTTTAGGGTTTAAGGTTCCTATGAAACTCCCAGATTACAGCAGGAGCCCTACGTCTAAACTTTCCTTCATGCTCTGCAGCACACAAGCACCCCAAAATTGTGAACATCCGTCGAACCCAACTTTAGACCCCAAATGTTTGGGTTGAGTGTTCAGCGCCCCTAGGACTTGAGACCCTTCATGATAATGTTTAAGGTTGCCTCTCAACCCGCGCTCCTGTGAGCAAGGTGCAGACGCCTCGAAGGAGTTGGGTGTGATAAGCTTACGCCCAGGCAGATGCCCGAAAGGGTCCAAGCTACGCGGTTTGGGGTGTAAGGGAAGTGTGCGCAAAAGACGGAACCTGTGCGAAACGTGTATATACGTATCAGCATATGCATGCACGCATGTGCTTGCTTGCGTGCGTGCATGCATGGCTGCCTGTCTGTCCGTCTGTATGCATGTATGCACGTATGCATGTATGTCTGCCCGTCTGTATGCGTGTATGCACGTATGCATGTATGTCTGTATGTCTGTATGCATGCATGCATGGTTTGCACGTAGAAGCTTTGCAAACCTGTTGAACAGCTGTCCTTTGTCCAGCTATAGAGGAACTCCATGTAGGTATTTAGGGTTTAGGGCTTAGGCTTGAGGGTTTATCGGTCAAGGCTCCAAGTACACAAAATGAATAGTATCCGGGCCCAACATTGGATCCTATTGAGTGGTTTAGTGCCTACCACTGTGCAGACGTCCTACTTTGCACAAGTCTAGGCGGGCTTTACTGTACGGGCCCGAGTAAAGGGTTGGAATGTAAACTGGACACGAGTCAGTCCCAATACGGATGTTTTGGTCCCAAATCGTATACTGTTTGGGGAATGATCACTCTTCTACCATGTCTAGCTTACAGCTGCCGTTGTGTTAACCGTCTGTTTTCTTGCCATCGCTAGTGCATCCGGGACGTGGGAACCATTTCCATCACTGCTGGTGTTTTCGTTTGTCATCTATTCGTACTCGTTCATTTTGTTGCACCCGAAGCCTAAGAGCCTACGCCCTTAAAGCCCAAATCCCTGAGGCCCAGAGTCCTGGACCTTTCAACACTTATCTCTACAGGGGGCTGAAACATATCTTTAATTAATTCTTGGTCAATATAATCCGAATAACAACCACGCTAAACCCTAAACTTAACCCTAATGAAGTTAATTCCATATTCAGCCTTGACCCTAAACCCTAAAGAGTACTTTCCATTTCATTTTCCACTATCCCAATATAATATGCCTATATAACCACCCTAAACCCTAAACCCTATACTTAACC